ATTGTGATGACTTAGAAGCAAGTAGCGATAAGACCAGGGTGACCCTAAGGTCACACGTCTGATCTCTGGTATCCAGCCTTGTGCAGAGCTTTATTAAACTACTGAGCAAGCACAACACCAAGTGAAGCTCCAATCAGCCTGCTACGGAGGATTTGGGGGTGTTTGCAGTGAGTTTTATATTCATGAAGAACAAACATGCTCTCTTAAGAGCTCAAAGCAAGACAGTGAGAGAGGGAGCTGTCAGAGAATATTCTTAGCTAAGTTCTCCCCGTTAAGGTTTCAGAGTTCCTATAGATGAGTGATAATAAAACAGGTGCTCTTCTGGGACTGCGTATGTGACATTAAGGGTTTTGGTTGAATTCTGGGAAGTTTGCTCATCTCTCGGAAGGAAAGTGAGGAAACTGCCGAAACCGAACAAAAGGTTTTCATGAACAGGAGCAGTGGCACCTCTGGAAAGCTTGGATAGGGTTTCATTGTGCTTGTCAGGGACCAGCCAGAGAAGCACTGCTCATGAGACTGAAAACTCCATTTTATTTTGGAGCAGCTTCAAAGTTAACAGGAACTTTAACCTAATCACAGCACAAGACACACTATCCAGAAAAACAGAAAGACATTTGAGACACACCAGGTGTCACACACACACACACACACACACACACACACACACACACACACACACACACACACACACACACACACACACACACACACACAACACACACACACACACACACACACACACACACACACACACACACACACACAAACTAACCAGCAGTGGCGGCTGGCCAGTAGAGGGCGATAGGGCGCCGCCCTCCCAGTTTCCCCACAGTTTTTAATTTTTATTTAAAAAAATAAATAAATAAAATTAACAATAATCACATATTCTAAGTTAATTGTGTGTTTTGTAACAAAAATAATTCATATATATATATATATATATATATATATATATATATATATGTATATATATATATATATATATATATGTATATATATATATATATACATATATATATATATATATATATATATATATGTATATATATATATATGTTGGTCTCTGCCGGTCTCTGCCGAGCGGTGGAGGCTGTGTGCTGTTTTTCAATCGCCCAAACAGGACGAGACCAGCTGTCCAATTGCTGACAAGAAAATCAAAGGGTAGGAATGGGAATGTATCCAATCAGCGTCGACGTTGTTTCAGAACGTTTCAGAAGCATGATGGGCGATGGAGCTACCGCCAAGGCTTTCGTTGGTGTTCGGTAGAACTCGGAGAGTCTCGACTCCAGCACGTTTTTGGTCGTGACTCGTGACGGTCATGGAGCAGACGCAGACATGGACGCCAGTGAGCCTACAACATGGATACCGGATCTCAGCAGCCACTGAATTCAGTTCGGTCTCTTCTCCAGTATCCGTTCGAGAGGAGAACTATGGTGGAAAAACTTAATGTCAAAGAGCTTGGACCAGATCAGCCCGACGTAAAGATAAGCCAGCAGGAGGAGGAGAAGGGTAAACTGTACTCACAACGCTTCTCCCAAAATTGGTACACCAGGAAGCAGTGGCTAGCTGGATGCAATCACGCTAATGCGTTATTTTGCTTTCTGTGTTTGTTATTCAAAACGGCTGGGATCCACAGAAGGTGGATGTGGAACTTGTGTCTCATTGGGGACTCCATTCATTCTCTGACTGAGGAATGCAGCGCATCAGTGCAGCAGCCAACAAAGAAACGGAGGACGTTTGGACAGGGAGAACAGCAGCTGGGTGCAGAGGTAAGCTGTACATTACATTTCTGTAAACAAGACAATCAGAATCAGAAATCCTTGGTTGTCCCACAAACCGGGACATTTGTTTAATAACATGTTTAATGTGCAATAACTGTAGAAAATAATTTCAACACACATACCTATTATACATATTTAATCATGTAAATGTGTATTTCAAGTAAATTTGTACATACATCAATCTGATTCCATTTTACTTGTTACACTTCTGCTGCAGCAAACAAATTTCCCAGCTTTTGGGACAATAAAACATTTCTGATTCTCAATGAGATGTTTTTACATTTGAAGTAAAAACATCTCATTGAGAACCAGAAATGTTTTATTGTCCCAAAAAGTGGGAAATATGACATTTGTAAGAGGATACTGATGACATTATTTCCTATGAAAGTGTTTCCACTTTCCATAAGTCCTAACAGTGTAAATTTCTGGCATTTTGTCTAAGTAGTGTTTACTACCATTACTGTAACAGTGACCTGCTCATAATTTTTCGTGTTCACTCAAATGTTGAAATTAAACAAAATGTTTTTGTTACTTGCCTCTTGCATTGCCTATTTACCATTTATGGTCATGTTATTTTATGTGCAATTTAATGCAGTATTTTTCAACCTTGGTCCGCAAGGCAGCGTGCCAATAGTCAGACACACCTGGATTAATCAGTTTGTCCAATGATGTAAGACAGGAAATAAAAGAGCTGTGCTTAATTCAGGAAATAGTGAAGTTGTGCACAAAGCTCAGAAAGCACAAGTTTGTTTAAAAAAAATAGCACAGCCCCACCAAAAATATTTTTCACCAGCCACCACTGCTAACCAGTCTAATCAATTCAGGTAACTCAAATAACTAAATCATAATTACAAACTTCCTATCCATACACATTATTATTAACAGGTCTGGATGTGGTTTGGTCGGAGGTCTAAAACTCTGCCCTGGGCCTAAAGCCCTGCAGATACATTTAGTTTCCATAAATAACAACAACAAATGAACAACAGAAGCTGGATTCTACTTTGTTTCCAGGGATGGACAATATAGAAAAAAGGTGTATCAATTTTAAAAACCCATTGATCGATATCAATCATTTTAGGAAACGAGAAAAGTAGAAAATATATTTTAAGTGCAGCCCTGGCCGTATTATGTAATTACTTTATGATAAAACAAGTTGGTTGCATTATCAGACTTGGTTTTTATTGATTCTCTGCTAATTTCGCCAAGCATAAACATGAATCTCCCCTCCCTTGGGAGTTGGTAGATCCCAGGAGTGCTGATGAGGCTTCCTGAGGAGATGAGCTGCAGGTGTGAGACTCCATGGGAAACTCCAGGTAACTCAAACAAAAGTACAAAATTAACACATGCATTCATAAACAGAAGACTGATTGTGTGCACATCACCCAGTCATCCTGGACAGAACACAGAAAACAAGCATTACCAGAAGCCCATGTCCCTGAGGTGACACTCTGCTGTCACAGTGCTGCTGATGGGACTCTTAGAAAAATTATAGCAATATCTGTTTTGGACTAATTTTAGCTTAATTTATAACAGATATGTGGTTCAAAATGCAGCAGCCTGCCTTTTAACAGGTACAAGGAAGCATGATCACATCTCTCCAGTGCTTGCTTCCCTTCACTGGCTGCCAGTGGATTACAGGATTCAGTTAAAATTGTTGCTTTTTGTTTATAAATCACTTTATGGTCTGGCCCCTCCTTATGTAGATGATTTATTGTCACCCTACACTCCTGCCAGGAATTTGCGGTCGGGCTCACAGTTTTTATTGTCAGTTGCAAAGGCTCGCCTAAAGACGAGAGGAGATGGGGCTTTTTCTGTGGCCGGTCCTACGCTCTGGAACAGTCTTCCTCTGCAGATCAGGACCTCACAAAGTCTGGATGTCTTTAAGTGCTTGCTTAAAACTCATTTATTCAACCTGGCCTTTATGTAGCATGATTTTATTTTGTCATTGTCATACTTTCTCATTTTTATTGATTTTATTATTTATTATTTTTATGGTTTTATGGTTTTTAGTTATACTTTCTTGTGATTTTATCTTCTGTGTTGTACATCACTTTGGGTTGCAGAAGCAATAATAAGTGTGCTTTAGAAATAAATGTGACCTTGACCTTGATATCGTCTCCACAGCGAAGGACAAAAACTACATTAATGTCAGTAAAGACATGTTGCAACTCAAGCCTGCCCTCTCCTCTTTTCGTGAGCTGTTTCTGTAAAATGATTACACAAACGTAACTTGTTTATCTAAAGTTGGCTGATGAGTGAGCCAGCTAATATTTAGGGGTGGGCATAGCAGTGGCGCCCCCAGAAAAATTTCATGTGGGGGGCCAGATGGGGTCAGTGAAAAATTTGGGATGGCACAACAAATTGGTTACTGGTAAGTCTGGGAAAGTTTAGGCAGTAGTTGTGTGTGGCAATGCTCTATAAGTGCAATATGGAACACGAACTCTAAAGCAACATCTAGTGCGTGGAGGTTGAAGCTGCAACAACAGAACCAGGTTCACTGCTGATGGTGAACTGTTTCTTGTTGGTCCATCTGTTGTAGGTTTCACCTAAACTCACTCTGGTTGTAGATCTTTCATGGTCGCTCCTCTTCTGATAAGGATAATGACATCTTCTGGGCTCCAAAGCAGCTGCTTGACTTGCTGAGCCCGCTATTTTCCACAGTGCCAAGCGGATTCTCTAGCAACCTGCAATGGTGCCCTCTGTTAGCTGCTAGATGTAAACATAAACCCAGTGTTGTGCCCATCAAAATAATTATTTGATTCCAATAAATCTTTTAAAGAAAATACTGTACCTTCATTCTGCACACCTCTAAACACCCCGTGGATGTCTTATTTTTGAAAAATATAGCTTTTTATTAAATTGTTCCATATTTAACCTTTATTTCTTTCAAATAAAAATTACTAGGCTTATGCATCCACCACACTTACCTTTTGAAAAACAGAAATAAAATGGTAATTTCAGTAATTTTTAAAAATTGCTGTTTTAGAATGTTTAAACAGTTTCACTTGCCTTCTTCTGTCAACCAAAACATCCACAAAAGCTATTAGGATTTATACTTGAAAAAATGCTGATTCTCAGTGATATAATTAACCAGGGGTGGTTTATCCCCCCAGGCCACCCCTTGGGGGCGCCACTGGGCTAATGGTCCCACTGCAGGACACCATTTTCAAACATGACAAACAAAAGATAAAATGGTACAATAATTTTTTAAAAGCATTTTCCTGTCCCAAAACATTCATTTTACAAGTATTTTCTGTTGAAACAGAGAGAAGAGCAAAGCGGTAGAGCTTCAAACCTGTAACCTGTGTGTGGGGGTTGGGGGTGTTCGGGGAAGGCTTTCATGCCATTTCTGACTCTCACAGCTGCAGTGGTTCTGTTGCAAATCTCCACTCATCTCTGCATGTAATTTACTTTACACTGTTAATAGCATGAAGACACACTGGGTGCACACATATGGATACGTTAGCATAAAAAAACACGTCAGACACCATAATCACATTCCTTATAAATGACCTCATCATACGTGTATGCAACAACATTTTGTCTCATCAGGATCCATGCGCTCTAAATCTATTCTACATGAAGTTTCCCTGGAAACCTTTCGGCACTTGCATCTAAAATTTAAGAAGGCATAGCTAAACACTGAGAATAAACTAGGTTTTTTCTACTAAGTCAATTTAATTTGAATAATGATCTTTATTTATGACCAAACAAAGGGAACAGCCAAGTTTAGTTCAGCCAAATTTAATTTATTCATTAATTTATTGATGTGCCAAAGTAAATTGGGAAGTATTCTGAAGGTAGACACAAATCAGTTCCCAGCTCCTTCCTGCTTGTTGCTACAGTCGAGTGTTTCCTCGTATTCATCAGAACAATGATCCTCAGCCTGCAGGCTGGCTGTCTGCTTTTCTCTGTTTATGTGCCTGATCGACATGCTTGAGTAGGTAGTAATTATCTCATACTTCACATGATGAAACGATTTATAATCTTTAAACATCTACATCAAAATGGCAGCCAGCAGCGCGCTGTTAGAGCATTAGAGCACATTTTATCATCAGTTCAAACAAAACAGGCCGTCTATTAAATGGAACAATATTCATGACCAAATCATTTGAGGAATAGCTGGGAGGATGTGACTGACTGTCTTGTTCATTAATTTAAAGTCTGCTCCATAGACGCTGTCTAGTCGCTCCAAAATACTCCCCAATGTTTGTTGTTCTTTTATTGTTTTTTCTCCTCAAGATGGTTTGTGTCTGCTGCTTGTGTTTGCTCTGAGAATGTCATGTTGTGTCTTTCTCTCAAGTCTTTGCCTTTCCTTTTCTCTGTAGTATTCTTCTTTCAAGTCCTCACGCTTTCTACGAGTCCATCCCTTTGAGGTGATGTGGAAGACATCCACAAAGTTTCCTGAATAAGCATCCCTGTGGGTGGCTCTGTACACAGCCTCTCTTGCTACCGATGTGGCCTCTTCCACAGTCAGACCCCACCGAACACCTTGGTCCAGGATAGAGTAGGCATAGGGGGACCCTGAACCCACGGAGAAGAGCGTTCCCTCCAGACGAGTGCCGTCGCTGCATACATAAAACAGCCTGGGTCCAGAGAGACGTGCTTTTCTGGACCTGTCCTGTGGAGTAAAAGAGGAGCCCTGTGAGGGACCTACTGTCATGCCCAGGTCAGGTTTTTGAGTCTTTGTGGTTCCTGCACTCTCTTCATGGTCATGGCACTCATCATCCAGCTCTCCTCCATCCCATCCACAGAGTGTGGCAGCCACACAGAGCTCAGTCCCCTTAAAGGGGTGAAGCATGTGTGAAAGCAGCTTGGCCGCTCCTCTCGTAGACAAACGGCGACTGTGGCGGAGTTGGTAAAGACGCAGTTCTCGAGCCAGAATCCGCTTCCAAAGCATGCAGTCAGCTGAAGTTCCCGAGGTGGTCCCCACCAGGTGACTGTGAATGGGCAGGATCTTCTGGGAAGCCGGGCACGCCACAAGGCCAGAGCAGCTGGAGCGGGTGTCTGCGGCTGCCAGCACACCACCCTGAAACATGAAGGCCAAGGTGGTGGTCCCGTGGGCCATGGGGAAGGGAAGAGGCACAGTCTGAGAGGAAGTAAATGGGAGGTTTGTAGGTAAGGGGAATGCTGAGGGGGACTCTTGTGATGAGATGGCGCTCGCGCTCTGCATCAGGTTGATTTGACCAAACTGGATAGGGCTTTCATCCAGATACTCTACCTCTGGTATATAAAAATGTAACAGGTTTCTGTTATTTGTGAAGGACAGACCGGCTTCCTTTAGTTCAAATGGCATTGAAAATCTCTCTGTGGTTATGTCCTCTTGAAAGATGTCCCTGAAATGGCACAGGTCCTCCAAAGCCATTGAAAAATTACTTTAGATATTTCTTTGATTCTCACAGAAAAAGCTCAAAAACACTAACTTCAGTGTCAGATGTCTACCTCACACTGCGGAGCTGTGGTGTGTCTCTGCAGAAACATTTATGTAGACCAGGAGATGGGCGGGGCTCATGTTTGTGTGTGATCGCCTAATTCCATCCATCATCAGCATTAACCAATGTTTCATTCTCTTTGAGACATAAAAGCCAGCAGCTCATGGGTAATTAAACTTGGCTGTGATATCAGGTTGTTTTTTCTCCTCAGATTTCTTCAAAGTCTTGTGTGGGCGTAGGCCAAAGAGAGCGTGGCGTGATGCTAACGCCTTGGCTAGAGTACTACAAATGTACATGAACTCTGAAGTGTCAAGAAAGTAGAAATCTCTGTCAGAGTAACAAATAATATGAACGAAGCCATTTTTGTTACCCAGTAAATCTAGACTAACCATCTCCAGCGTTGGTCTTTTACAATAATTGGTGCCAGTTGCTCAACTAGCAACACCAGAATTACCAGTAATGCAGCATTATAGAGGCGGTACGCTTACACATCTCCTGTTGGTTTGGAAACTGCTGTCAGATGTCTCATACTTTTCCTCAGAGCAGCTCTTTTAAGTGGAGAAAAAATGAATCTGCGGTTTAAAGATCTGTTTTCATATTTGACCCGATCTTCACTTAAAAACTTGGAATGACTGTCTTTCTGCCTGTTGTTGTTGGGTTCATCTTCACTGCCTCTTTTCTGTCGGTAAGCTACGACATCATGCTTTACTACTTTAAAAGCTGAAACTGTGATTCCTTTATTTTAACTACATTTAAACTGAGAATGTTAACTAGCTGCATTTGATGCTTTCATGTTAACATGTTCAGCCACAGGAGTAAACACAGACACATTATAAAAGCGGTAGCTTTCAGCGATGAAGTCATCTAGTTAAAGGCCTAGCATTCCTAACCCTAACCCTAACCCTAACCCTAAGAGGAAAAAGCTAAACAAAATACTTGTCTTCACAGACAGAATCATACGAAGCTCCTACCTCTTATCAAAGATTGGAGAAATAATTCTTTGGTTTTTGAGAGAAAGCATCCGTTTTTATCTTTACCTTCACCAGTGTCCTTGCTTTTCCTCCACTTTGCCCAGGGACAGTGTGTGTTACAAGCCATTTCAGCTGAGAGTGGTGACACTTTGCCTGACAGTTTCATAGGGTTTGAGTCGGTCCCTGACAAAGTGGCAGATGGCTCAGTGGTCCGTGTGCGGTATCAGTGCTCCAGGCCGTGTCAGCTCGCAGTGGAAGTTTTGGTGTCAACATTAAGGAAGACAGATTTGGTGGTGTTCAGGAGGAAATGGACCAGCAGCACACCTCGAGTGTACAAGACCCAGCAGGTGCTGCTCAGATTGCCCCAGTCTATTTCAAATCATCACCGCTATGCCAGCAGGAACATGTCGGACACTCAGAACGCCACGGTTCGCGCTCGGCTGGATTATTTGGAAGAGGGCAGTGAAATCAGCCCTCAGCATGGTTCAATGTTAAGGATTTATGAAGTGCAGCAGGTACTGCCACTTTCTGTGTGGCCAAGTCCCCCCCCCACTGGGTGTTTGTCATGGTCTGCTCAACTCTTGGGGCAAATGGCCGACAACAGAATCCTTCAGTGCCCTCACGAGTCAGGTGAGACTCCTAAAAACATCCATGTTTCTCCTAATCTCTCCTTCCAAGACCGAGCAGAACAAAACCTCCTGTGAAGAGTCTTTTGCTGTTTGTCTTATTTACAGATGTAATTGATGTGCTGAAATTCCCTTTGGCATGCACCGGTGAGAATTTCGGGGTGGTCCACAGGTTCCAGCCTTTCATCAATGGAGCCCTGGAGAGAGCTCGTCTTCATGCTGTAACACGGCCCAGGTGGGCCTCACTCACCGACTCCTAATTTGCCTCACTTTAGTTCTAACTTATTCTGTATGAAGTCCAAACTCACAGCATGAACAAAAGCCTCCTGCGGTGTCTGCAAAAGCTCCACCAAAAGCTTAGAAATCAAAACTTTTTAGATGTTTAATCTTATTGCGGTGACACGTGCCGTATCAAAGTCGAGGTTGACAGATCTCAGGGTCGGAGGTGGCTTCCTCTTCTGGTGCAGGCATGTTAAAGGCACACTGTACTTTTAGTTTTAATTTGCTGCTTTTATAAATGACTTCATGAGCTTCACCAAGCCTATTCACCCAAGCATATAAGCTTTTTATTCACGGTCAATGCAAGACAGCAAGGTCAGGAGTTTTTAGCAGACAGCACAGCGTTTTAAATCTGGCCTCACGCTCCAGCGGATGAAGAAATGATTTGTCAACTCACGTCTCGTTGCTTGGTTTTCAGCGTCGCCTTCTCCGTGTGGATCTACCTGCTGAAAGGGTGTCAGAAGAACCACTGTGGCATTGTCCATCATGTCAATCAGAAACGTCTGTTTGACTCTGTCCTGATACAGCTCACAGACACAGGTAGGCCACAGCAGCGTGTGTAAATACAAAGTGCCATAGAGGATTTGACCCAGCTGCCATGAGATGATTGTGAGGGATGATGTGCGTTTTTGTGAGACTCAGGAACAAACTGTGTTATGTATTAATAAAGCGCTTTGGATTTCCTCTGGCAGAAATATATGTCTGTCATATCTTCTGTTCAGGAGACCTCATAATTCAGGCCCGCATGACAACCGGAGAAGATGAAGCGTTCCGAGCAATCGTAATGTTGCCCCTGTGGAAATGGATTAGATTGGACTGTTACATACTGGACTCTAAGGTAAAAGCACCCCAACTCGTGGTTCTGGGTGGGTAGAGGAGCATTAGAACCTGAAATTGAGCTAGTAGTCGTCTGTTTTCTCCTGAGCTTTGTTTGGTGCTTTTGTTTCCTTCTGGAAAAGCTGTAAGACCCTGAAAGATGGTTTCTTTCCAACTGGAAGACTGTGGGGCGATTCCAATTCAACTTGTTCACACTTCACTGGGTATTTTAGTATTCTTCATATATTTTCCTGAGCTGGTGCCTTGTTATGTCTGGCTTTCAGGTGCAGCTGAATGCAGCATGGGACAATGAAACCCGCAGCTTCGAATACAAGTAAGTTAATGCTTTTTTCATGTAAAATACAGAAACCCCACTTCTGCCCTTAAAACAACCCAGCAGGTCCGGGCACTATGCTGCACACTGAGTGTGACTGTACTTCTAAAAGACATTAAATACCTTACAGATTTCAGAACATCATCCACTATGATGACACTGATGGACACTTTGTGATTGGAGGAGGAAAATATATGTCTGGCATCAGCGGATACTTTGGGCCTTTTAAATACCACCGTCTAGGAACAAAAGAAGTAACTTTCATTTCATGTTATCGCCCATCTGAGGCTTTCCTACCGCTAAATCACTTTAGTTCCAGTATCAAATTTGATACGTTTCCTTTCCCAGATAAAGAATCCACTTCATCCCAAGTCGACCTTACAGGAGCTGGACCGGACTCACCTGGAGTGTCGGGAAATGAGAGCTTTTACCAACGCTTTTCTGCAAGTAGTATCTGAGGATCACCAGCTGTCTTCAAATAACAAAAGTGATATATTGTTTTGATATTTCCTATTAATGTAATGTTGAAACCAATCACCACAGAGAAACCTAGTATCGAGGGTGCAAATGCTACAAGTGCACACCTATGGAGTATGTGAGGAATGTGGCTGACAGCATAGTATTTATTATTTTTTGTTTGTTTTATTTCAGCTGTCTGCACCAATGACTTCCCCGGACTGTGGGCTCAGTTTCAAGACAAAGATAAAACCTGTGCAGAGGCATGGAACCTGGAAACACAGCTTAAATACAGCGTGCTGTTTCAGTTCTTGCTGAGAAAGGAGGATAGAATAAGAACAGGTGTTACAGAATCACATACCAGATGAGGTATACGTTAAATGTCTATGTTACAGCTCACAGGTTGCCGTTTCTGCAGGACATTTGGGTATGAATAACCTGGGTGGTACCTTGTTCCACCTGGCAGTTAGCACACTGTTCCAAGAGCATGAAGCACCAATGGAAATGTCAGCTACATCGTTGGAGTTATTAAAAGCATCCTCATGCTTTGGAAATCACAGAGCATCTCTCTTGCTGGCCGCCATTTTCCTTTCTGGCTTGGGTCACCCAGTCGACCAGGAGCAGGTAGACTCAGTGCCCCTTTGTGTCCTCAAAATCAACTTTATCACATTTGTGCTTCCAAGCCTTATTCTGACCTTTGATTGCTTCAGGGTCATGTCTACAGTCTGATTGGTGCAGTGGGTGATGACCGATTTGCCCTGATGCATGCTGGGTATAAACACACACATGGAGCTGATGGGTTTCCCCAAGACTTGGACATGGCTAATTGCTACTATGCTAATATTGGAGGACAGTGCAGCATTGATAGTTACAGATCTCATGAAAATAAGGTAACACCCACTGATGATTTATTCATAAACATTAACGTTATTATTGTTTATGTTTATGTTTATGTATTTAGCAGACGCTTTTGTCCAAAGCGACTTACAAGTGATAATCGGCATGTTGCCCTTGAGGCTAACAACAACAACAACAACAACAACAACAACAACAACTTGACATCAGTCATGGAGAGGAGGGAACAAGGAGTGGACAGTAGAGAGGGGGGACGGGTGCAGGGAGGGTGCTAGTTTAGAAGATGCTCTCTGAAGAGCAGGGTCTTCAGGAGTTTCTTGAAAATTGAAAAGGAAGCCACAGTTCTGGTAGTGTTAGGAAGGTCATTCCTTGTTTGTGGAACGATGCATGAGAAGAGTCTGGATTGTCCTGAGTGTGGTGTAGGCACTGCTAGCCGACGATCCTGTGACGACCGGAGCGGCCGGGCCGAGACGTAGGCCTTTGCAAGAGGATTCAGGTAGATGGGAGCCATATTGTCTCAGACTTTGTATGCTAGTGTTAGCAGTTTGAACTTGATGCGTGCTGCTAGCGGTAGCCAGTGGAGCTCAATGAACAGAGGGGTGACGTGTGCTCTTTTAGGCTGATTGAAGACCAGACGCGCCGCTGCGTTCTGGACCATTTGAAGAGGTCTCACAGTACAGCCTGGAAGACCAGTTAGAAGGACATTGCAGTAATGGAGGCGGGAGATGACAGTAGATTGCACCAGGAGCTGGGTGGCATGTTGTGTTAGGTATGGTCTGATCTTTCGTATGTTGTACAGCGCAAAGCGGCATGAACGAGCAACAGAGGCAACATGATCTTTAAAGGCCAGGTGTTCATCAATTATTGTAAACTATTCCAAACCAGAAAATGGCTAGAAACCTTTTGGAGTTACCAGCACCTCTGAGTCTGATGTCGTAGTCTTCAACCACAAGAAGGTGGAATGCTGTCTCCGTATTAGGAATGAGTCACTGATGCTGATGGAGAAGTTCATATTTCTTGAGGTTGTGTTCACGAGTAAGGGCAGACAGGAGCAGGACATTGATGGATGGATTAGGCAGACATACCGATTTGCCTCAGCGAAGAGAGAGCTGAGTCTAAAAGCAAAGCTGTCAATTTAACAGTCAATCTACAGTGCTTTGAAAAAGTATTTGGTCCATCCTTTTTGCTGAATTAATTTAATTCAGCAACATTTCAAGGAGTTTTGATTATAAGCAATATTTTTAAGTCATGCTTCAGAGTTTCAATTCATTATGGTTACCCCAAAACCTTAATTTTGTTATTTTGAGCCATGCTGATTGGACCTGTGCTATGGATCACTGTCTTGCTGCATAACCTAAGTGCATTTGAACCCAAAGGTGTGGGACACTTATTTACTTAATACTTTTGCAGTGGTCCCTAGTAGGAATGAATGTCTTATAAGTTGTACTCTGAAGAAAAAAAAGCTGAAATGCACCTATTTCAGGAAGTAGCACAACACTACACCAGGAGGGGGAATGTGGTGGTGGTGATGGGCCGGTGAAAACTCCGCTGGTGATCGATTCAGCCCCGGGGGTGTAAACCGCGGGAATTGCAGCAGGAGGGGGAGGAACCGTGGGAAAAAAATCACTGCTTGCAGGGGGGTGGCCCAACACAGCCTCAGTGACAATAATAATGATGATGGCTGGGTTAGTTTGGGAGAAGAGGAACAGTATTCCAAGTGGATCAGGCATTTTGATGAGCCAGCTGGATATGTGGAGACAGGGATCGGTCAAATACAGAACACATTGATATTTTGTCAGTTTATTTGGATGAGGAATTCTGGACCCTCATCACAACTGAAACTAAGCGATATATATATATATATATATATATATATATATATATATATATATATATATATATATATATATATAACAATTATAAACAAAATAAACCAAAGAAGGGATGAATGAAATGTGTTCATGACACTGAAGCACCGATTCGCAGTAAACATAACAAAATACCATTAAAGTAATAAATATTATATATACATACATACATAGTTATATGTGTCTACATAGGAAATGTATATATGTATCATAAACAATAACAACACTAAGAAAATAAGACAAAAACATAAAAAAAATACTAAAATCTGCAAATGTGATGCAATCCAATATGGCTGCCACCTGATGACGTCATAATATGCAAATTACGTGACTGAATTTGTTCCTATAACAAAATTTGGCTCATACTGAAGATTTTCTAATTTACAATATTCCTCTATCTCTAACCAGATTTAAGCTACAAGCTCTTTAAATAGTGATGTAAAAATCATATTTTACTGAAAAAACTATGGCGCCTAAAGGGTTAACTGTACCTTACTTGTTCTTGTGTGAGTTGCAAATGGTTGTGACTTTGTCAAGTAAACATGCTGAAACATATATCATTGAGCACAGATTAATGAAACATTTCATTATTTTATAATTGCTATAAGTAGCAATAAACAAACGTTTATTTAATGATTATCTGGCATATAAGTTTTAGAAGTTAATATTTAATTTTAAAATCTTCTTTCTTTTTTCTTCTGTGAAGCAAAGTGTCTTAGTTAAGAGGGTACTCTGTGAGCAACACATTCTCACTCCCAGCGCGTCAAAAACAAACGCTAGGTCATCCACCCTCCGCGTCAGACCCCTGACGCCAAAAGTGCCCTTTTTCGTAACTTATGTGCGAAAAGGGGTTCTGACTGCAGATCCCAGTGCAGCGTTACACTGACGTGATGGGATGTCCGCAGCCAGGGCACCAAACAAGCTCATTGTACCTCACCCTAACCTTATCCTCTTATTTTACCTTCCCCTCACCCCTATCCTAACCTTAACCATCTTGCTAGCGAACACGTTAGTGATGTGTCGGTCGCTCTAAAAGCCGGCTCTAGGAAGTGAACGGCGGGAGCCACCTCGTCATTGGTCGGGTTGGGACCGAGCCAACGCGAGGGGGAGGTTTCAGCTACCAAGGTGGAGGTTAAAAGTAGAGGGTATTTGTAACCTCCCCCTCGCCAGATGATATGTTCTAACGTTCCCCTTGGGCAGCAAATACGAAAATTCACAGTCAGAATGCGTGGGAAACAAACGCTTGATCACAGTGAGAGTAACGCTTTAGGTAGCAAGAGGGTTAAGGTTAGGATGAGGATGAGGGGAAGCTTATAAATAGCAAAACGTTAAGGTTTAGGTGCGGTTAAATGAGCTGGTTCGGTGCCGCATCAGCGGATATCTCATCACGTCAGTTTTACGCTGCGTTGGGATCTGCAGTTAGAAAAGGGAAAAAAACCCTGTTCGCACATAAGTAACAAAAAAGGGCACTTTTGGCGTGTGGGGTCTGAGGCGGAGGGTGGCTGACCAAGCGTTTGTTTTTGACGCGCTGGGAGTGAGAACGTGTTGCTGTGAGGGACCTTGAGGAGAGAATGTTATTGCTGACATTTCGTTATCTCTGTCAGAGCTGAAGGCTCTGAGCTCCAGTTGGTGGGATGATTTAAATCAGGCGTGTCAAACTTAAACTCACACGGGGCCGAAATGAAACTCTGGGACGGAGTCGAGGGCCAAACTTAATATTTTTTGAAAAAGTGACGGCAAATTTGTACATTTTCTTTATCAACATGTATGCAATTTTGAACCTTTAAATTTGGAAACAAACTTATTTCTGCATTAACACTGAATGTGGAATAACCCAATGACACACTAGCAAGTCCGTTTTAAATAAAAGGCATCAGTGGTATTTATAACTTGTGGTATAATCAGCATTTTATAAATCTATTCAGGATTTATGTTTTCTTGTTTATTCATTTTTCTTATTTTTTTATTCTCCTTTTTTCTCCTGTAATACGTGTCATCGCTGCTGTGACGTCTAGCTTTCCCCACTGAGGAACAATAAAGGGATTTTCTATTCTATTCATCTATCTGCAGCCTTTCCACTTCCTGTTTACTGTAGGTTAAATCTTTTCTCACGGGCCAACAACAAAATAAAATATCATTTTATCTTAAATGAAAATGCAACATCTCACCTGTTAACTTTCATGTTTTGGAGCAGAAAAAAAGCATCAAACCAACATATTTAAAGCTCAGTTTGCTCCACTGGTTTACTGTGATGCTCACCTGTTCCAGCCAGATACCTGCATCATGGGGTTGATCTGAGCTGAGGAGGAGACTCCTGTTGTTTTGTTCCTCTTCATCATAATAATGACAACATTAGATGACAACAGGTGCTCACATAGGTTTGTGCTGATGAACATGTCTGAGCAGCTTGACCACGTTGTTGTGTGTCGGGGAGGAAACAGCCACAGAGTCGTGCTGGTTTGAGCGTGTCGCTGTTCGCTGGAGTTATATCAGCTCTGTCTGGACATTAGTTGGAAAACTTTCTCTTTCAGTTGTGAACACATTACTGAGCGGCTAGAATCTCAGTTTCTGGGCTTCAACGTCAGAAAACAGCTGAGTGAACTCGGCGCTGAGTGAGAGGAGTGTAGTTTGTCCGAGACAGCGGAGCTGCACACCAGCAGCAGGCGCTGGAAAAAACACAAAGGAGGGGGCGCGTCGGCTCTGCGCTAACGCCGCAAAGCATCATGGGAGTTGAAGTCTTTGCGGTAAAATCGGCCAGCGGGCCAGTTTTAATATATTTTTGATATTTATCCCGCGGGCCACATAAAAATGCTCCGCGGGCCGCATCTGGCCCGCGGGCCTTGACTCTGACATATGTGATTTAAAGGGAACACAGACCAGATGTTAGATGGTCAAACAATACCTAAAATTTGACCATTTCTGGATTAAACTGTTTTAGTAGAGATTGAACCCAGTGGATCGATGATTGGTGCCGTGTAAGAGACAGGTTTTGTTGTATTCACAAACACTCCCACTAGCTGTTGCCTCTTCTTTCCAACAGATGGGAGTACTATTGATCTTCTTATTTCCTTTTAGCAAGGAAGAGATTAAATGTGGCATTTTATTGGAAAATTTATATCAGATGTCTGATTGCACTGTATTAAACAGGCATTCAAACAAACATGCTGTACACTGGGCAACAGCCTTTCAAAATGCACCGTGCCTGAAATATGATTAATAGTGTGTTTGTTGAAGAGGCCACAGTAATGCGGGAATGGGCAGGTCTTAAATCCTAATTTAAAAATAAAGCTGCGTTGATGAATGCAAGAGAGCACTCCTAGATAAGGAGCTCGCCATGAGAACAGTCTGCTTCCTGCTGATTTCCTGTTTTTTCTATCAGTATTTCAATAAGATGCATCTAATGAAGAGATGTGTATGAAAACACCAGAGAGACATGGCTGCTCCATCTGCTGAGGAGACGGTCAGTAAACGGCAGAACTGTTCCTGTGGAAGTTTCACCAAAGAGGAAACTTGAGGAAGAGAAGTGCAGAAGAAAGTGCACCAGTTCAGATTGGGAGGGTGTCTTTCCTCTACTCTTCTTTGTTCTGATAGTATTTTTAATTAATACTGATCATTATATTTGATTAGAAGTGATTAGATGTTTGATTTATCTAATAAATGAATGATAATGTTGCCCTTGAAGAGCAATCTTTGAACAGCTTCAGCTGTTTACAGTGAAAGTTCTGTTAGCAACAAAAATACTAATTTCATGAACGGTGATTTACCTGGGTGTTTGTCTTTTCTGCAGCAGTACAGGCCGGAATTCATATATTTAGGCATGGAGGAGGATTTAAAGAGCCTGACACTGGAGACAAGCGATGCTTTTCAGTTTCTGAAATTCCAAGCAGATCGTGGAGACCTGGAATCTCAGGTTTGAGTGATGCACAAAGCTGATCCGAGTTTTTAATCAGATTTATTATTCAGATGAGCTCTGTGTCTGAGGAAGATGGATAAAAGCATAGAGGGGAAAGAGGTCTCTTAGTTCTTCTGTTCTTTTTGTAAATGTTCTCCTTTGTGATCGGTGGTCACACCGGTGTCCAAAGCAGACTAATACAAACTCCATTAACTTTAGAGGCGCCTGGGAATGATGCTTTTCTGGGGACAGAACGGAGTCTCAAAAGACACGATGAGCGCGGTGAAGTGGATTGAGAGAAGTGCTATGCAAATGAAGGATCCCTCAGCGATGTACGACTACTCCCTCTTACTAATGAAGGTTGGGCAGAATTATACAGACCCTGTTTTATGATTGAATTGAACACTGTACTTTGTGTGTGTGTGTGTGTGTGTGTGTGTGTGCTCTGTCTTTGTTTTGACACTTATCGATTCACTGATTGATGTTGATTCCTTCAGGGCCAGGGTGTGAAAAGAAACTATACTCAAGGTTTTCAGCTTATGAAAAAAGCAGCAGCGATGGTGAGCGAGAAGCAATCAATGGCTGTGTTTACTCCGTCTTAGTCTACCACGAATACCACTGTCTGCTTCCTCGCTTTAGGGTTCAATTAACGCCCTGAATGGTCTAGGCTGGTATCATGGGAGTGTGCTGAAGGACCACAAAAAAGCAGTGAAATACTTTGAACAAGCTGCTTTAAACGGGAGTGATGACGGGATGTACAACTTGGGGGTTTATCATCTGAGTGGGAAACACCCCAACAAGCCACAGAGGAATGAGGTTCTATTTTCATCCAGTTTTTATACAGCACAGCCATCTTCCCGACTCCTACACTTGTTTTCTGTTTCTCCTCCTGAACCACAGAGCGCTGCATTCGAGCTGTTTCTGAACGCGTCTCGCCTCGGCCACACCGCTGCTTCGGTGGAGGTGGCGGGGTATCTCTCCACAGGAAGCCTAGAAGGGGTTTCTCAGGATGTGCAGAGGGCTGTGATGTAAGAGGCTTTCATTAACTTGGTGAAGAAGTGATTGTTATAGGCTGTTACACTGCAGCCTGCAGCTCATTGCCTTCTAATTTCAACGACACTGGTTAATTCAAGGTCAGAAAGCAGCATTTACATATTTAAAGTAATAGCCACTGCAGAGTAGTCTCTGACCTTGAGAGACTCTGCAGAGTTTTGAATTCAAAGCAGCTTTATTTTAAATCTTAACATATTTTAGTTTAATGACTGTCAGAGAGTCGTCACCGGATCTGCAAATGATTATCTTTTGAAGTAAACATGATTTTAAATTAGCACCACCGCGTATCAACAGTAGGCAGCATAAAAACTGCTATGGCTCAGTCAGTTTTACAACTATTGAGCTGAAGTTTCTAGTCGTAGTAGCTTAAAGTCATCCCTGTTTCATTCTCCAAGAATGAACTGCCAGATCTTGGTTGTAAACCTTGTCTTTTAGCAAAACACCTCGTCAGAAAGATGGTCACAACAGCTTATGTTTATTAAATCTGCTAATGCTTTCATCCAAAGTAGCGTACATGTTTTTATCTGTGGGAGGAAGTCAGAGTACCCGTGGAAAATCCTCGCATGCTTTGGGAGAACATGCTAATTCTATGCAAAGAGGCCACAGCCACGGTTTGCACCCATGATGATCTTGCTGCTGGGAAGTTGATCCTTAGCAAACTAGAAAGGAAAAATGTAGTGAGCTGAACTTTGGTGTCGAAGGCCATCTTTAACACGCACAGAGCCAAGACTCGAGTGATATTTTATTTAGCAAAATGTTACTCAACTCAGCATTAGTGGTTTTGGTTTAACCCTCTCAGGCTCAAAATAAGTTTTGATAAAAGGACGAATAACTAAGTCCTTCAGAGTACTTCTGAGTTTAAAAATGCTCATGAAACACGTATGTGGAGTAACCAGGAAGGCAGGTTTCAACGTTGCACATCTGCAACACCTGCCTCCAGAGGGTTAACCAGTCATGACAGGCAGTGGTGATAGGAAAGTCTAAATCTTTACATTTAATAGCTTTTTTCTTTTAGAAATGATCCCAACAAATCAAGAACTACTTCTACATCTAAAACTTTCTGATTAATGTTAAGTAAACCATTGTCACAATTTGGTGTAGTAGGATGTTTAGGACCCAAAATGCAGAAAACCAGATGAACCAGGCAGGAGGTAGATGATGAAAATAAATCCTTTATTTAGGAGTAGTCCAAAGGCAGGGAGCCAAAACCCAAAAATCCAATAATCTTAACTGAGCAATAAAAACATTAGAGGACTAGAGACACTGGAACACTAGAAGCTAGGAACAGGAACAAGCCTGACAAGAACAACAAACAAACATTAATGGACCGACAAGAACACAGAGACAGACAGGGCTTAAATACACTGGGAGGAGCAATCAGGGAAACAGGAAGCAGGTGTGTGGGGTGAGCTGCTGGAGGGAAGGCAGGTGACACTAATCAACTCAATGGGGAAAACAGAAACAGAGGATGGCAAATACCTTAACACAAAACTAAACAACAATTTCCTAAAGACAGAGGGAAGGACTCACACAAACTAGCTGGAGGAGGACATAGCACATACACACACTGAGCTGGGGACAACGAGGCTGGAGCTGACCTGGGAGGAAATAGTAAAAAAGATATCAGACACTAGACTGACACACAGAAAAAGGACACAAGAGGGCGCCAAAGGGCTACAACATAAGACACATAACAGGGATGCAGACAAGGACACATGAGGGCGCTAAGAGAGCACAAGGGGAGAACCTGGAGTGGAGCACAAGAGGAGCTGGGGAACAAAGGGACACAAGAGGGAATCTAGAGAGGGATGGAGGACACCAGGAGGCACATAAAGGAAGGGGCAGATGCAGACCATGACAACCATATTCCTTAATTTATCACCCATTTGTCACCCTCTGCTCAGAATGCTAACAAAGGTCTGTGAACAGAACGGACACCTTGGATTTACGATCAGAGAGGCCCTTCAGGCCTACCTCCAGGGTTCTTGGTAGGAACATAATTCAATAACACTTCGAATTTCACTTAATTTTCTCTGATCTTTACTGTTTTGTTCCCCCTTTTAAGAGATTGTGTGTGTGTGTGTGTGTGTGTGTGTGTGTGTGTGTGTGTGTGTGTGTGTGTGTGTGTGTGTGTGTGTGTGTGTGTGTGTGTGTGTGTGTGTGTGTGTGTGCTTAAACAACAGGCAGGAATCTCTGGTGAAGTACGTTTTAGCCGCTGAAACCGGTCTCGGCTTAGCCCAGATCAACGCTGCACACCTGTGTGAGGTAAACACACACTCCGTCTTTGGTGTTAAACCCCTTTGTGTATGTGATTATTGCCTGATTGTTTAATCTGATTTGTTAGATAATTCTGCAGTCAGTGTGCCATGATTGGACTTATGGTTTTAGCTAATAGACGTAATTCCAGTCACACTTTAAGTATGCCAGAGGGAAATTATTAGCGCGTGATAATGTAACCTTCATTATTACTCTGCACTTTCCCACCATGCACCAAGGAGCTGAATCTCAGTTACGACTGTCAGAGGAGATATCACAGCTTCTCTTTATTAAACTCTGATCCTCATCCACCCAGTGAGTTCAGCTCATTTTATTCTACTTTAACCCCCTTTTCCCCTGTCAGTTTGGTCACTGAACACCAAATGTGTCTATTCTTCATAGCTCTGCTGAAAATGGGAGACTACTACTACTCCTCCTCATCCTCCAGCACACGAGAGGACTCATTATCCTTGGCTGAGCAGGCCGTATCAATGTATAGCAGAGCAGCTCTAGCAGGCAGCCCTCAGGTGACAGATTTACTTGAGCTGTAATCTGATCACCCTATGATAAACTTAATTAAACTTCCACAGACTGAGGCCCACTGCAATAAAAACAGCAAACGGCATCACAAGTTGTTATTATTTGGAGACTTTCTGAGTGAATAACCAGTCAGCCAACTGGTGTAATTCCGTTTTCACACAGGGAATGTTCAACTTGGCTGTTTTAGTGCGAGAAGGCTACGTTCTTCCACAGAGCACCCTCCACTTGTTCAATGCATCGTGCCACGACGAGCCGGACTCTGTGATGGAGAAGATCCTAGGAAGGTGTGTTATTTTAAAACCATCAGTAAAACTAATCAGTTGTGTAATGCGAGTATCTCCAGCCACTGATGTGATGAGATAAGCCTTTGTTTGAGGACTAATGATGTAACTGAAATCACGTGTAACACAGCTTCCATTGTCGTATCTCCTAAGATGTGCACAGCTCGAGGACGAGAATGCAGTTGCACCCTGTTCTTTAGCTCTGTTCGGACTCCAGATGGGAAAAGCCTTGAGCAGCATGACTCAGAACCGTGCACAACTCCTCTTGGTAGGCATGAGCCAGTCAGTTCCTGCTGTATGGAGCAGGAGACAAACACAATCACTTCTCCAGAGACACTGCTTCTCTTCTTTATTGTGATAGTTAATACATTTAATATCTAAAATGCAGAATATACATAAAACACAATCTGGAAATTAACAAGATGTTGGCATTTAAGGAGGAAATGTGAAAAAATGTCCAAGTAATTGTTGATTTTTTTCCCCCTATAGGCATATGCATCGATTCTCTCCATCATTGTGTTTGCTGTTGTTGTGCCGTTTCAGGCCTGCCTTGGTAAGTATTAATGCTTTGCGCACTTGTGGACATTCACCACAAGATGGCGCAGTTTGCCCACATGTTGATTGACATCATCTGCTTCTCTGATCTCTACAAATCAATCTGTCAAAAACAACTATCTGACTCTTAAGTGGTTCCACCATCTTCAAATGTCTACAGAGCACAAATGGAAGGCAGCCACACAGAGGGGAAGAGCATCTTTAGGGGCACAACCCGTGGAGGAAAACCCAAGGCTGTCTGTGAATGTCCTACAGCAGCTCCAGCTGAGCAGCGACTTGGCTGTGACTCTGTCTGGTGTGTGTCTGTGTGCCTGCTGGACAATGCTCTTCTATCATCTCCTATGATGATCAAATCCCCAGCAAAGTGATTCAAAAGCCACAACAAAATCCCCAGATGCTTCAGACAGGCAGGGCAGTGTTTACATCATGAGTAACAGAACTTGTGTATTTTAGGCATGTGACTCATTTAAAGATGAGAAACACTGGAATAAAAGGAGAAAACAAACTTGTCCAGCTCCCATTTTTAAGAGCAAAACACAAATAATGCACCTTTAGTGATGGCTGTGTGCTGGCTAAATTCTAATAAGTCATCTATTAAGGCTTGTCCCTGGTGTTATCGGTGATGTGTTGAAGATAAAGGTCTCTCGGGAGAACAGGTATCCAGCAAAAGCATTTTAATGTGTTTGATTCAAAAACAGAGCAGGAATTTCCAACATTATTGATCTAGTCTTGGTTCTTTGTTTAATAAGAAGATAAGAAGATATCTGTTTTACACATCAGTTAAGAGACACCAGGTGCAGAGGTAACTATGGCAACTGGAGACACAGACCATTTATCCACTTTTAGATTAGTAGTAAAAAAAAACGGGTGCATCTGTGTGGTGCCATCAGTTTTATATTTATTAAAAAAACAACTTTTGAGTAATTTTGTTTCTGTATGATGCATAGGTGGCATGACCTTGTTGCTGAGAGTTATTTACAGCTCTGACTGGCTGAGATGCGATAATGTGCAGTTTACAGCTTTGCATTCACACAGCTGTCATTAGTTAAATTGGAAGCTTGACAGCGTAAACAGTGGAGCTGCTTGACTCTAGAGTGAACATGTATAATTTGAGGATTGACTAATGTTGTGCCTCTTGCTTCTCCTATCTCTTTCTGGCTCCTTTTATTCTGCTTAAAACAACAAAACATCGTGTATGCTTGGCAGCGTTCTTCAGTTTTTCTTGTGCAGCATTTGCTGCGACATCGGTACAAGTAATGTTGTAAAAAAGGGAAAAGACAATAATTTAAGTTTAATTAAATTGGAAAGAGTAAATGCTTTTCTTGTAAAATCTGTATTCCCTCTTTATTACCTCTGACACAACCATGATTTCTAAATTAAATTAACTATCAGTCCATGAGAAAAACAGTCCTGCTGCATGTCAGTATTGTCATTCCGACACCAAATAAAAGCATAGGGGGGATCTTTGAACATCATTTGTACATTTGTTCTATGTAATCCTTCCATTGTTTTAATTCTTTTCTAAACACACCGTAGTAGATTTGTTTTTACCTTATTATTTGCTATCAAGTTTCAGCTAACACTGTGGCCTTCCTTAGAGCACTGTTGATGTTGGAGGCATTACTTCCTTCTTTGTTTATCTGCAGACAGCAGTGGACGATGTTGTGCCGTACAGACTGCTGCACAAGGGAAAATCATAGAATGGACTGGGACAGCAAATGGATCACAAACACAGAGCAACAAAAATACAAAAGATAGATTAAGGAAGCAACAGAAATAGAGAGACATGGACCCAGGACCATGAACGGAGTTTACACATCTGATCACCCATGGGACCTTGTCAGGAGGGCGTGGGCAGCAGAGGGTGATATCGTCCTCTACTGCCAGCAGATAAACAGAAAAGGAAGTAACGCCACCAACATCAGCAGAGCTTTGAGGAAGGCTACAGAGTTAGTACAGTTTGTCCTTGTGCCCAGTAATAACTGGAACCAGCTTCAGCAGTCCCATAATCCCGAACAGGAGATATCAAAAACTGATTGGATGGAAGGATTACTGGATGTGTTAACCCTCTGGAGGCAGGCGTTGCAGATTTGCTACGTTAAAATCTACCAACCTGGTTACTCCACATACGTACTTCATGAGCATTTTTTAACTCAGAAGTACCCCTGAAGGACTTAGTTTTTTGTCCTTTTGTCAAACTTGTTTTGAGCCTGAGAGGGTTAAAGTAAATGAGGGAAAAATAGTTATAACTTGCACAAAATTTAGAGCCAAAGGTTCAGACTTCACACTGTCTTTAGCATTTGTTTCCCAAAATCAGCTCACAATCATTTAGTAGCAGGTGCAGAGTTGAAATGTAAACACATCTGGTTGAAATCTAATTGTGGGAAACTGTAAAACAAAAGGCAGATTCTGATTGTTCTCTTTAGTGTTTCTGTTAGACCTTTAAAGGGATACTTTAGATTCAAACTCAGCCTTTTTTGCTTTGTACAAGACAACCTTTCCTCAGACTAGTGGGAGTGAGGCGTCCCTTTGCAAGCAGTTCCTGTCAGGATCAGCAGCATATTTAAATGCCCTGTTTTCAAACTCTGCAAACTTTGGCACCAACAATAATGAATTTTTGATGAATGTGGGTCTACAAATATGGAGACAGCAGACTTAAAATTGTTTTATTAACTCAAATATAAAAGTTCCTCAGTCTGCAGCAATCAAGTCAGACCAGGCAACGCGGGAGTCTTTTGGTAACAAGTCTCAAACCTCAATGCAAACCAGGCTAGAGCATGTTGTCGTTAAGATAATGCACAAAGTTCAGGGTACAATATGCAAAAATTATACAGTGAAATAATCACAAAACAATCTCATGTCTCAATCATGTTGGAAGGAAGGTAACATTGAACAGATTGTCTTCTCAGCTGACTGTGAGGGGTTGTCAGTTATTCGCCTTAAAAACAAAAACAAACAAAGAGCAACATCACTGTTGCAACTGCTGTTGCATCCACATTTGTAATTTAACATAGGCCAGCAAAAACACCAGAGTTGTGTAAAGATCCTAAGGCAGTAACAGGAGTGACGCTAAAAGTATTTCTCGTACCCCTAAGTAGCCACGGCATCTTTTTGTTTTCCTCTATAGGCCATTGAAGAAGGCCATAGTCTAATGCTGAGCTAACAATGCTAATGGTGAATTAGAAACAGTCAGCTCTAAAATATCTCAAGCTACTTTTTCAGTTCCCAACAATTTAATGTCACAGTTAAATTCATTTATTTACCCAGAAACTTGCTGTGTTTGACTCTTCCTCACTCTTCATCTAGAATCTTCTGCTGCTGATCCGTAGCTGGCAACAGCATGAAACTCATGGAACAACGGCGAGAGACTCACTCTTTGATTTTGAACATGGACTGCAGTAGGAGCCTACACAAATCTGAGCACTTTGTCGTTCTTACTTCATTCTTACTTCTTACTGCACCTTTAAAGGTGTGGAAGACTGAAAAAACATTTTTTAATGATTTTTTTCTGCTGCAGGCTGAACATGAAAATAGTCTCCTACACCTACCTCCTGCATTAGCTTGTGATAGAAAATTGACGGGTAAACTCTAGGAATAGAAAAGCCTGAGATCTACATCACACAGTCACTTAACATTCATGGACTCACCCATCTTGAATCATGACAGGGAAAGCTGTTGTTGGTTTAACGTCCAGGAAACGGCAGAGAACGTTTTGGCTTCTGGAAGCTAACTGTTAGCATTAGCAACTCCAGCACATGGCAGAACTCCTTCAGGCTTGCGTTATTTGTGGAGATAAAACATCAACGTTGGAAAGCAATCAGAGTCTGTCATAGAGTCTGGTTTCTGTTATCTAATGTGAGGTCAGATGTCCAAATATCAGGAAACAAGACTCCAGATCCTGACATCTGAAGCTACTTTCTCCTCCAGCTGAATTATGCCCCTTGATTCAGGTGCATCCAAGCTCCCTGCTGGGTACAACTTACAAGGCATTTATTCCTACAAAAGACCAATGCAAATGCATTCATTAAACAAGTAAATGTTAAATGGTCTTTATGTGTATAGCACCTTCTTAGGATTCTACACCCCCCCCCCCCCCCCCCCCCCCCCCCCCCCCAAGGTGCTTCACAACACAGTCATTCACCCATCCACACTCTGGTGGGAATGAGCTATGATGTACCCACAGCTGCCCTGAGGTACACTGACAGAGGCAAGGCCTGGCAAACACTGGCACCAGCGGCCCATCTGACCACCACCAGCAGGCATGGTGGGTTATGTCAGACTGGTCGGCTGGATTCGGGAGTTGAGTTTGTAGGGAGCGTGGTTTCACAGACGCGGAAGTGAGAGCGTCGGTGAAACGCCGGCTCACGCTTTAATCTAGGAGCGTTCGAGCGACAACGAAGTGACACGGAAATGCCGTGCTTTCCAGAAGTAAGTAACTTACTATGAGCTGATAGTTCGTGGGATGGATCGGTAGGTTGGAAACTCTGATCATGAATCTGAAGAAACGATGACTGAGTGGTGAGCTGGAAAAGCGACTTCCGTTTATAGCTGCGGTTTGTGACGTAGGTGCGACGTGGAGGGAATCCCCGCGAGGGTCATGCTGGGAGTTGTGGTCCTTAGTGGAGGCTGGCTAGCTGGGAGAGGCTGGCCTGGGAACTTGGGTTCTGACAGGACCCCCCCATCCAGGGACGGCTCCTGAAGTCCCAGGGCGGCCCCGGCGGTCCCAGAGGTCCGAGATAAGGCCAGGGTCCAGGATGGAGCGGGCCGGTTCCCAGGAGCGTTCCTCGGGGCTGTAGTCCACCCAGTCCACGAGGTATTGCCACCCCCGACCTCTGCGATGGGTGTCTAGGATGCGCCGGACGGTGTAGATTGGCTCACCATCGAGGAAGCGGGCAGGCGGAGGCGCCGGAGCCGGAAGCAGGGAGGACTCCACATAGGGCTTGGCTGCAAAAATAAGTTTGTTTCCAAATGAAAAGGTACAACCGATCATATCTGTAGATAAAGTAAAATGTGCACATTTACCATCACTTTTTAAAAAATATAGAGTTTGGCCCGCGACTTCGTCCCAGTTTCTCATTTTGGCCCTTTGTGAACTTGAGTTCGACACCCCTGGTCTAAAATATCTTTGTGATTGGCAAAAGGAAATTCTAATACATTAATTTCCATCTCATGTGATGACGTTTGAGATGGGTTTAACTCCCATTTTTTGAACAGTCACACTCAAATGTGTAATTGGAGAGGTGGAGTTGCAAAAAATAATAATTGATGTGAACTTATGTTTTTTTCATGACGTGTTGCTGCAGACTGTGATCATTACTGCGCACTGACAGCTTTAACAGCTTTCATATGTATCACCATTTCCATGTGAGTTAAACTCTCCCTGAACCTTTAATAATATAATGTGAAAAACTGAGGTTTGATTTGCACTATAAACATTTGAAATTCCTGTGGTATCAGACCACCTGGCATCATGTATTCATGACAATGTTTGCTCTAAGAACAGCA